GGCAGATCCTGAAGCTGAAGCTCAAATAATTTGGCCACCGAATGAGAAAAGGGGATACCTTGGAAAAGACCCCAATGTTGGGAAAGATGGAAAGCAACAGGAGAGGGGGACAGCAGAGGATGAGATGGTTAGATAGTGTCATGGACGCAAGGGACATGAATTTGGGCAAGGAGGAGACAGTGGAGGACAGATGGGGCTTGGCATGTTGTGGTCCATGGAATCATGAAGAGTCACTCAGTTTAGTGACTGAACAACAATAAGGTTGAATGTTATGCTGTTGAGTCATTGCAAAACCCCCCAGGTTCTGCCACTCATTCTCCTACAAAGAGGCTGCCCCAAAGAAGAGGGAGTCAAGCTATTCTCCAAAGCACCTGAAGGCAGGACAAGAAGCAACGGGTGGAAACTAATCAAGGAGAGAAGCAACTTAGAACTAAGGAGAAATTTCCTGACAACAGAACAATTAATCAGTGGAACAACTTGCCTCCAAAACTTGTGGGTGCTCCAACACTGGAAGTTTTTAAGAAGAGACTGGACAACCATTTGTCTGAAATGGTATAGGGTTTCCTGCCTGATCTCGGGGTTGGACTAGAAGACCTCTCCAAGGTTCCTTCCAACTCTGTTATTCTGTTACAAATCTCTCTCCCTATAGATGTTATTGATCCATAGGGCAAAGAAGTGATATATTCTGATTGAGCAGTTGGGAGTTGATCTGTGTGACTTTTACTCAAACTTCCTCAAATAAGTTACCCAGACCTAATCCACATATCAAAGGATAAGGTCTGTAAACACAAATAGAGTGAGGCCTCCCAGTGAAACTGTATGTTCACAAAAATAAACATACCTACCCACACATATGCTCCTGAAGTGTCACCCTAGAATCAGAATGTAGACACTTCCACAACCAGGACAAACTGTCCTACAGGTAGTCCTCGACTTACAACAGTTCATTTAGTGACCGTATGAAGTTACGATGGCACCGAAAAAAGTGACTTAGGACCATTTTTCGCACTTATGAATCCCCATGGTCACGTGTTTTACATTCAGATGTTTGACAACCGACTCACATTTATGACGCTTGCAGTGTCCTGGGATCACATGATCCCCTTTTGCGTCCTTCTGTCAAGCAAAGTCAAATGGGGAAGCCAGATTTACTTAACAACCGTGTTACTAATTTAACAAATACAGGGATTTGCTTAACAAACGTGGCAAGAAAAGTCGTAAAATGTGGCAAAACTCACTTAACCAATGTCTCACTGAACAACATCTATTTTGGGCTCAACTACCTACGAGATACCTACGAGACTGCCTTCTGCCACCGAGAGCCTCCCACCGGCCAGTATGCTCCCACAGAAAGGGGCTCCTCGGGGTGCCATCGGTCAAACAATGTCGACTGGCGGCCCCCAGGGGGAGAGCTTTCTCTGTGGGAGCACCTGCCCTCTGGAACGAGCTGTTGTGGCTCCGTTGCCTGAGCCTGGGCTATCGACAGATGCAGACTCTGAGAGTGAGGGAGAGGAGTTGGCAAGGCCTCCCTCTCCAGGACCCTCCTCTCTGGCAATGCCTCCGGAGGACACCGAAGGCCAAGAGATAGGCCCAGAGCCAAGCACGTCCCCGCAGCCACAGGTGGACAGCGACGAAGGAGATAAGTGCTGGCTGGATCCTCGACAGCGGCGCAGGGAGAAGCATGCGCAGCAGAGGGGAAGGCGTGCCAGAGATTAGCTGAGTCACTGGACCACACCCCACAGGGTATAAATGTGGGTGTGGTGGCCGGTTCAGTTTGTGACGAGCAAAAACTAGAAATAATCCATGATCTCTGCGTTACTGGACTTGCCTGCCTTGTCGGACTGCATTTGGACTAATCCTTGTATTGCTGAAACTTTGCCTGCTTTATCGGCATGCTTGCAGTCTAATCTTTGTTTTGTGTGAGTAAAGTCTGAATTGGCAGCTAGCCACTGGGTTGCTGCCAGCTTTATCTTCAAAGACTTTGTCGTGTGTCTTATTAACTCCGGGCCGTCTGTGGGGGTGCGTGTGTGGGACGGGGACAGAACATGAGCTCCCCCCAGAGATACGGAGGATCCCGGATTTATGTATTTTCCGCCGGGCCCTCAAGACTTTTTTATTTCAACAAGCCGGGCTGGCCTAACTTCTCCAATTGCTAAATTTTAATTTTAATTTTAATTTTAAAAGGGGTATTTTAATTGTTGGGCCAAAATTGTTTAATTTGTTTTTTAAATTGTTCTTAAATTTTGTACTCTATGTGTTTACCTTTGTCTGTTCACCGCCCTGAGTCCTTCGGGAGAAGGGCGGTATATAAATTTAAATAAATAAATAAATAAACTGTGGTCGTACATCGAGGACTACCTGTATTTAACTGTGTTGCTTTACCCCGTTTCTCTGCAGCTGCCCCTAAAGGCAGGGGTGGGCTGCTGGGGGTTCGCAGGGGTTTGGGAGAACATCTAGCTAAGATTCTGTGCAGTTTGGAGGACCCCTGAATTCCCACTCCTGGCTTGCCCCGCCCACCCTTCCCCTCCCCTCCCAAGAGCCCCCACACAGCCCGTTTTGGATGCAAAATGGGCCGTGTGGGGAAGCTTGGGGAGGGTGAAAACCAGGCATACCGGAAGTTTGGGAAGGCCAGAAATGGGCCCGTTTCTGGCCTCCAGGGGGCTTCCGGAGCCTGGGGAGGCTGTTTTCGCCCTCCTGGAGGCTCAAGGAAAGCCTCCAGAGCCCAGGGAGGGCAAAAACACCCCCCGCCGCCATAGTATAGGAGGCTGACTAGGCCACGCCCACCATGGCCACGCCCACCCAGCAACCAGGCAGAGAACCCCTTGCTAAAATTTGTGAAGCCCACCCCTGCCTAAAGGCATTCTATTTGCTTTTAGGAATAAATATTTCTTCTTTCCTCACAGCTATCTGGATCTCATTTCTATTTATTCTTCTGCCACCCCAGCATGAGTTGGAACCCTCAATTATTCTTCTGACAGGTCCATGAGAAAAACAAAAATTTCCACCACCCCCTCCCCACTTCCTCTGGTGATAGACATAATTGCATTTTTTTTTTTACTGCCAGTGACTCACAGATTGTGTGGTTGTGTGACCACGTCTCCAAACTACGCAAGAGATATTTTCTCTCCTTTTGCTTGTTTTTCAGCTGTGGGTTTTGCGGAAGGCTGCAAGCAAACACTCATTTTCTATCATTTGCAAGTTAACACAAAAGGCTAATCCATTATCTATGCCAGGTCAAGCCGCAACGATGCGCACGAATGGCGTTGACCCTTGTTGAGTCTAAATGAATCACTGGATGCATCCATTCAAAACAATCCAGCGTTCCAAAATATTATCTTGAGAGGCTCATGTGCCGTTCAATGACCTTTTGATACTCTAATTAAGGAAGGATGATTAAAAATGCCCCAATAACTCAGGGTATAGAAATATCCTCTGCCATATCCCATTATTCTTTGTGATGGATCTGTCTTAAACCTTGTTCAGTCATTTTTACCGTAATGGGAATATAATTCTGTGTTAGCCCCACTCTAGAGGAATTCATAACCGAGAGAATATCGACAACATAAATATATATATATATATCTGTGAAGAGATCCCTACAGATGAAAGTGTAATTAAAAAAAATATTAGAATGTGCAGAAATGGATAGATTAACACTTAAAATTAAGGAGAAGGAGGAAACAGAATATTTTTAAACATGGGATTCGTTTTACCAACGTCTAGCAAACAGAAACAGAAGTTAGAAATTTAAAAGCTTAAGAGAATGATTAACTATTTAATGAAGGTTTATTAAAATGGATAACCAAATATTATTATTATTATGTGATCAATATCAATGTTGTGAATATTATCGTTATTATTACTATTTCTCAAAATTAACTGTACCCAGACAAGACACTATTCATGGAGACATTGAATTTTTATTAAAGTATATACCGTATTTTTTGGACTATAAGACATACTTTATTGTCTCCCAAAAGGGAGGAAAAATGTCTGTGCGTCTTATAGACCGAATATTGCCAAAGCCCTACCCACCCGCCGGCCATTTTTTGGCCTCCACACGCCCTGTTTTCAGGCCTTTTTTTGAAGCTTTTTTTCGCCTGTTTTTGAGGTTTTTGAGAACCCCCAAATCCCACTCCTGGATGGCCCCGTCACCCCGCCCCTCCCCTCCCAGGAATCCCCACACGGCCCATTTTGGAGGCAGGTAAGTGCAGGCGTGCATGGAGGCTCAGGGAGGGTGAAAAATGGGCCTACTGGAAGTTTGGGAAGGCCAAAAACGGCCCTGTTTTCAGTCTCCAGAGGGCCTCCGGAGCCTGGGGAGGCCGTTTTCATCCTCCCGGAGGCTCGAAAAAAGCTTCCCGAGCCTGGGGAGGGCAAACCCTCCCCTCCGCCATGGTGCAGGAGGCTGACTAGGCCACGCCCACCATGGCCACACCCACCCAGCAACCAGGCAGAGAAGCCCTTGGTAAAATTTTTGAAGCGTACCCCTGGCTCAGTGTTCATACAAACAACAATGTGATAAATAGTCAATCATAAGTTACAATCATAAATCATAAGGTAAAAACAGCAAAGTGATAAATTGTAAGATACCAATAGGAGCAGGTAATAGGGAAGACGAGAAGGATAATAGCAATACAGCCCTACTACATGGGTAAAATATCTTTAGGCCTAAGACAGTGCTGTGAGAATTAGGTATTTAGCAGAGTGATGGCAGGAGGGGGGAAAACTGTCTCTGCATCTAGTAGTTTTGGCATGCAATGCCCTATAGCAGCTTCCTGAGGGGAGAAGTTGAAAGAGTTTATGTCCTCTGTGGAAGGCAGGCCGTAGTTATCAGATTTCAAACCTGTAATAAACCTGCATTGATAAGGCATTTCTCACAGCTAAATAATGTGACTTCCACTCAAATGACTTAAATGGAAAATAAAGGGTGCTTTTCCCAACATGCTGTTTTATTTGTATTTCTAACAATGTCTCCCCTGGGTCAGAAATAATTAACTTACCCTTTCCAATGTAATTTCTTCAAATTCATATTCAATCTCTGTGCCGTTGACCTAAAAATGATATAAAGAAAATCTATTAATATCTGTGGGAAACATGTTTTCTAGAGGGTTAATGTTCTTTCATGTGTGATTAAGCATTGTGTTACACACACACACACACACACAATTATTATCTCTTTTATTCATTAAACATGAAACTCAGTCAACTGAACATTTTAAAATACATCACAAATACGATTGACTGCTACTAATGGTTGATACAGGTTGCTGCCAGCGTCCTAGGTATTACCCAAGTATCTTCTTAAAATATATGTTCCGAGTAGCGCAGTTTTTTTGCAGTTCTGCTGGTATTATTGCAGGAAGCTGCAATTTCTTAAGGTTTTTTGTAAAATTCTTGGATGATATTATTATTATTATTATTATTATTATTATTATTATTATTATTATTATTATTATTATTTATTATTTATTGGTTAATCTTTAGTGAGATTCACAGCCTTTGAGGCTGGTTAATGGCTCAGCAGCTCGAGTCCTAACCAAGGACCTAGGAACTGTTAAGGTATCGTCGGAGGATGTAAGCTGTTCCGAGTAAGGTGGTTTTTTGTAGAGTCAAAATGTTCAAGTCTGGTAAATTTAGAATTTCTAAATAGCGGGGTAGCCCTTTGGGTATTGCTCCGAGGGCTCCAATTACAATCGGGACAACACACGATTTCTTTTTCCACAGTCGCTCAACTTCAATTTGTAAGTCCCGGTACTTTGTGATTTTTTTTCTTGCTGCTTATCTTCAATTCGTGCATCACCAGGTATTGCAATGTCAATGAACCATACTTTTTTCTTTTCAACTATTGTTATGTCAGGTGTGTTGTGGACCACCAAGTGTCTGTCAGTCTGAATCCTAAAGTCCCACAAGATCTTGAGTTTCTCATTCTCTAAAACTTTCTCAACCTGATGTTCCCAGTGGTTTTTGCTGTACTCAAATCCAAACTTCTGGCACAATTTCCAGTGAATGATTTTAGCAACACGGTCATGGCGTTGTAGGTAGTCAGTTTGTGAAATTTTGCTGCACCCACTGATCAGGTGGTCGACTGTCTCTTCTTTTTCATTGCAGAGGCGGCATTTGCTGTTGGTGGTAACATGTTGAATTTTTGCCTTCATACAGTTTGTGGCTAGGGCTTGTTCTTGAGCTGCCAAAATAAAGCTTTCTGTTTCTTTTTTCAGTACTCCTGATCTTAACCAGTTCCAAGTTAGTTTCTGGTCAGCTTTGCCTTCAATACTTTTCAGGTATTGGCCATGCAGAGATTTGTGTTTCCAATTTTCAGCTCGCTGCTCAGTTACTTCTTTCTTATATTCTGCTTTTGTTTTAGTTATCTTTAAAAGGCCTCCTTTATTTACTTCCTTAATCATTGGTTCTTCACTTTTCTGGATGTAATCATTCAAGCTGCATTTTTCTTCTTCCATAGTCTGCTTTACTTGTAGGAGTCCTCGACCACCCTCTGCTCTTGGTAAATATAATCGGTCAACATCACTTTTAGGGTGCAAGGCATGATTCATTGTCATAAGCTTCCTTGTTTTTCTGTCCAAATTGTCTAACTCCATCTGGGTCCAGTCAATTATTCCTGCAGTGTATCTAATCACAGGTATAGCCCAGGTATTTATGGCTTTTATGATGTTTCCTCCACTCAATTTGGACATTAATATCTTACGAATTCGTCGAATGTACTTGGCTGAAGTTAATTCCTTGACTTTATTATGCATTAAGTCAGAGGCTTCTAAAATTCCCAAGTACTTGTAGCCTTCTTCTGATTTTACTGCCTTTATCATTTCTTCATTCTCTAGTTCTATTCCATCCTCTTCTATGATCTTGCCTGCTTTGGTTGCTATTGTTGCACATTTGTCAATTCCAAACTGCATACCAATGTCTTGGCTGAATTCTTTTGTGTTTTCAATTAATAAATTCAGTTCAGCTTTTGTTTTACCAAACAGCTTCAAATCATCCATGTACATCAAGTGCGAGATTTTCAGTCCTTTCTTTGCAAGTTCGTATCCACAGTTCATCTTCTTCAAAATGATTGTCAGTGGTAGCATTGAGAGTATAAAAAGTAGGGGTGAAAGGGAATCGCCCTGGAAAATGCCTCGTTTAATTTCAACTTCAATATTATTATTCAATATTATTGAATAATATTATTCAATATTTTATTATTATTATTATTATTATTATTATTATTATTATTATTATTATTATTATTATTATTTAATCTTTAGTGAGATTCACAGCCTTTGAGGCTGGTTAATAGCTCAGCAGCTCGAGTCCTAACCAAGGACCTAGGAACTGTTAAGGTATCGTCGGAGGATGTAAGCTGTTCCGAGTAAGGTGGTTTTTTGTAGAGTCAAAATGTTCAAGTCCGGCAAATTTAGAATTTCTAAATAGCGGGGTAGCCCTTTGGGTATTGCTCCGAGGGCTCCAATTACAATCGGGACAACACACGATTTCTTTTTCCACAGTCGCTCAACTTCAATTTGTAAGTCCCGGTACTTTGTGATTTTTTCTTGCTGCTTATCTTCAATTCGTGCATCACCAGGTATTGCAATGTCAATGAACCATACTTTTTTCTTTTCAACTATTGTTATGTCAGGTGTGTTGTGGACCAAGTGCCTGTCAGTCTGAATCCTAAAGTCCCACAAGATCTTGAGTTTCTCATTCTCTAAAACTTTCTCAACCTGATGTTCCCAGTGGTTTTTGCTGTACTCAAATCCAAACTTCTGGCACAATTTCCAGTGAATGATTTTAGCAACACGGTCATGGCGTTGTAGGTAGTCAGTTTGTGAAATTTTGCTGCACCCACTGATCAGGTGGTCAACTGTCTCTTCTTTTTCATTGCAGAGGCGGCATTTGCTGTTGGTGGTAACATGTTGAATTTTTGCCTTCATACAGTTTGTGGCTAGGGCTTGTTCTTGAGCTGCCAAAATAAAGCTTTCTGTTTCTTTTTTCAGTACTCCTGATCTTAACCAGTTCCAAGTTAGTTTCTGGTCAGCTTTGCCTTCAATACTTTTCAGGTATTGGCCATGCAGAGCTTTGTGTTTCCAATTTTCAGCTCGCTGCTCAGTTACTTCTTTCTTATATTCTGCTTTTGTTTTAGTTGTCTTTAAAAGGCCTCCTTTATTTACTTCCTTAATCATTGGTTCTTCACTTTTCTGGATGTAATCATTCAAGCTGCATTTTTCTTCTTCCACAGTCTGCTTTACTTGTAGGAGTCCTCGACCACCCTCTGCTCTTGGTAAATATAATCGGTCAACATCACTTTTAGGGTGCAAGGCATGATTCATTGTCATAAGCTTCCTTGTTTTTCTGTCCAAATTGTCTAACTCCATCTGGGTCCAGTCAATTATTCCTGCAGTGTATCTAATCACAGGTATAGCCCAGGTATTTATGGCTTTTATGATGTTTCCTCCACTCAATTTGGACATTAATATCTTACGAATTCGTCGAATGTACTTGGCTGAAGTTAATTCCTTGACTTTATTATGCATTAAGTCAGAGGCTTCTAAAATTCCCAAGTACTTGTAGCCTTCTTCTGATTTTACTGCCTTTATCATTTCTTCATTCTCTAGTTCTATTCCATCCTCTTCTATGATCTTGCCTGCTTTGGTTGCTATTGTTGCACATTTGTCAATTCCAAACTGCATACCAATGTCTTGGCTGAATTCTTTTGTGTTTTCAATTAATAAATTCAGTTCAGCTTTTGTTTTACCAAACAGCTTCAAATCATCCATGTACATCAAGTGCGAGATTTTCAGTCCTTTCTTTGCAAGTTCGTATCCACAGTTCATCTTCTTCAAAATGATTGTCAGTGGTAGCATTGAGAGTATAAAAAGTAGGGGTGAAAGGGAATCGCCCTGGAAAATGCCTCGTTTAATTTCAACTTCAATATTATTATTCAATATTATTGAATAATATTATTCAATATTATTATTATTATTTATTATTATTATTATTATTTATTATTATTATTTAATCTTTAGTGAGATTCACAGCCTTTGAGGCTGGTTAATAGCTCAGCAGCTCGAGTCCTAAACAAGAACCTAGGAACTGTTAAGGTATCGTCAGAGGATGTAACCTGTTCTGAGTAAGGTGGTTTTTTGTAGAATCAAAATGTTCAAGTCCGGCAAATTTAGAATTTCTAAATAGCGGGGTAGCCCTTTGGGTATTGCTCCAAGGGCTCCAATTACAATCGGGACAACACACAATTCCTTTTTCCACAGTCGCTCAACTTCAATTTGCAAATCCCGGTACTTTGTGATTTTTTTCTTGCTGCTTATCTTCAATCCGTGCATCACCAGGTATTGCAATGTCAATGAACCATACTTTTTTCTTTTCAACTATTGTTATGTCAGGTGTGTTATGGACCAAGTGCCTGTCAGTCTGAATCCTGAAGTCCGACAAGATTTTTTTTTTTTTATTATTATTATTATTATTATTATTATTATTATTATTATTATTATTATTATTATTATTATTACTATTACTATTACTATTATTAAAGATTAGTACCACTTTCTCATTCAAATCAATTAAACATTTTATCCAGGGAACACCTGATTTTGCAGTTACGTGCAAAATGTAGAGGAGGAAAACTCTCTCCATGAGAACTGATCAGACAAAAACCGGTACAAGCAGTCCTCGTTTAGTGACCATTTGAAGTTACAACGGCATTTAAAAGGGACTGATGACCGTTTTTCAACACTTACAACCTTTCATGATCAAAATTCAGATGCTTGGCAACTGACTCATATTTATGACCAGGGGTGGGTTCTACTTACCTTTACTACTGGTTCGCAGCGGGGCCAAGTATGTGCACTTGCTTTGCTCATGCGCAAGCGCAGAAACATTTTGATGATGTCAGGGTCAGTGGGTGGAGCCTCCCGCCGGTTTCACTACCGGTTCTATAGAACCGGTAACTCACCACTGTTTATGACGGTTGCAGAGTCCTGGGGTCATGTGATTCCCTTTTGCAACTTTCCAACCAGCAAAATCAATAGAAAAGCTTGACTCA